CAAGTAGCCGGGACTACAGATGCCCATCACTATGCCCAGCTAATTTTTTGTATTTTTGGTAGAGACAGGGTTTCACCGTGTTAACCAGGATGGTCTCGATCTCCTGACCTCACGATCCGCCCGCCTCAGCCTCCTAAAGTGCTGGGATTACAGGTGTGAGCCTGTAGTCTCTTTTGTAGAGACAGGTCTTCTTCTGTTGCCCAGGCTGGCCTCGAACTCCTGGACTCAAGTGATCCGCCTACCTTAGCCTCCCAAAGTGCTGGGATCCACTCTGCCTGTTTTTTGTTTTTTTTTTTTAATGCAATGGTGATCATCCTTGTACATGCCTTTTTACATGTCAGGCATTATCTCCTTGCCTTTGCTCACTTGCTCCCTCTCTAGAAAGGACCTTTTCCTCCTCCTCTCTCTTCTCTTTTTAAACTTTTTTTGTGGGTTTTATCCCTCACTTCTGTCCAGTCACCTGAATCAAGGCGCAGTCCCTATTTGCATGCTAATGTTCCATTAAAATGTTTCCTATCCCGTATTTATCTTTGACAGTTCAAGGAGACGGGGCAGTTTTCCAGCCATCTGTGATTGGTTGTATTTGTGGGAGATTTCTGTGTGCAGCTGCCTATAACTGTGCTCCTGTGCATATACGAGCCTGTGTGCGTATACGCTGATAACTCATAGGTTGATGATGTGTGCATAGGCACATGTGTGCCTGTATTTGTGTGTGTCCTATGTGTGATCTGGGGTGGGTGCATGCAAGTAGCGAGTGTGCTGTTGAAAAGGGCTGGAACTTGTTTCCCCACAAGGTCTGCTCTTCAGTCCTGAATCCTGTTTCTTTTGTGGAGAAACTCCTTTGGTATTCTTCCTTCCTTTGGTATTCTTGGCTGGTCCTTTCTTTGGTGTTCTTTATAATTTAAGTCATTCACTCTGTGGTAATTAATGACTCCTTCCTATAATTACACCCCGCTGGTATTTGCTTCTTTGCATGACTGTGCAAGGACAGTCAAAATTACTGTTTAGGGGACAGTCTGAGTTTGTGAATTACCAACTCAAAGACTGTTCCTGGGCCAGTTGGGTTCATCTGTGTCGTCGTGGATGGAAGAAAGAACTGTTATATAGAAAATAAATAGTGGCTATTTATTCTGAAGGAGAACAACTAAAGGACAACTAAGTCTTTAAATAGTGACTGTGTTTTACGGATTGATTGCTGTCTCAACCACTAGTATTAGTGGCACCCCATGGCTTCAATTAAATTTGGTCTAGCCTGAGGGGAATCATATTGGAAGCCGGTTTTGTTGTTGTTGTTTGTTTGTTTTGAGATGGAGTCTCGCTCTGTGGCCCAGGCTGGAGTGCAGTGGCTCGATCTTAGCTCACTGCAAGCTC